AAGGCCCTCACAGGGGTTTAGGAGGAAGTGGAACAGGGCTTAATCTTCTTCCCTCAGAAGTGGTGACAGCCTGACATGAACCTCTTCAGCACTTCTCTCATACAAACTATCCATCACAAGCAGCTGCAGCTTTCGGAACATCTCTATAGTTTCCTGGTTTCTGGGTATGCCCTTTCTAGTGAGCTTGACAATTGCACACCAGTGTATGACATCATTTCCTGTTGGAGAAGATTCGAATGTGACTAACACCAAGAGTGGCTTAACAAATCCTTAATGATGGGAATGAAGGTTAAGTTATTGGAGATGAAAAGAGCTAAAGTAGAGATTTCCAAACTATTAGAAGTTCATGGAAAAACAGTTACATAAGTTGTACTTGCATGGAGGGAAGTACTTAACCTTAGAGGTAGCATTTTGAGAGACCAAGTGGTTGCTTTTACAGTTAGATACTTTTGTAGTGAAGTCTACAGGGACAGTGGGTGGACAGATATTTCTGGGTGCGTTAGAAAGATCAGAGAAAGGAAAGATGACCCTAGAGTTTGAAAACCTTTTTCTAAAACTACTGTCAGAAAAACCATAGTTTCTGTGACTGACTTCAAAATATTGTTTTTTGGTGTATCAGAACTCTAAATACTTCCAAGTACCAAATGTAACCAAATATGTAACCAAAAATTAATTTTGCACACTGGAGAAATGTTAACCAGGTTGAATTTACTATCCTTCCAGTAAAAGTCAAGATGCTGTTTAAGAAAGACTATTATAGGCTGAGCTGTGTCCTCCCCAAATTCTTATATTGACTTCCCAAGCCTCAATGTGGCTTTATGTGAAGACATAGCCTTTAAAGGTAATTAAAGGTCATTAATTTGCTGTAAATGTTTTTAAATAAGGTTAAACCATTAAGGTTAAACAAAGCCATAAAGGTGAGACCTTGTTCCAATAGACATGATGGTGGAATAGCCAATCATACCAGAGCTGCCACACAGAGGAGCCATCTGGGGACATAATGAGAAAACATCGTTTGTAAACCAAGGAGTGAGGCCTCAGGAGAAAGCAGTCCTATCTTAATTTGATTTTTAGATTGCAGAACTGTAATTATGAAGGTAAATTTCTTTTTGTTTTAGCCACCCTGTGAAGAGTGTTTTATGGCAGCCCTAGGAAGTAATCCCAACCCACAGCGCTTTACGACAGTCCTAGAAAGTAATACACTCTTTTTCTGTCTTAATCAAAGTCTCAGAGAACATTGAGTATCCCTATTTAAAAAACTCCAAATCCAAAATGCGCCATTTTTTTTAATCACAAAACCTTATCATAATAAAAAAGTCTACAATTATTCCCACATGATGGGTTATGTCAAAATCAAGTGCAGTAGAAATACATAAATTACGTTTGGGCTAGTTGTATAACACAGACCATGAATGGGTTTTGTGATCAGATTCAATCCCATAATCTAAGCAGTTTGTTATGCATTTGCATATATTCCCAAAGTTCAAACTGTCCGGACTCTATTTGAGATAAGGAATAATCAGTTAACTTAACCTTTATTACACTTGTGGGAGGGACATCAGGCAGCAGGCAGAATTCCAGTTTTTTCTTGGGATGCTTTCCAGTGTGATTCTGAGGGCTGGAGTCAGCCGCTGCAGACACGGCTGCATAAGTGGTCTCCTCGGTGTGAATGTGGCTGATGGATTTCAGCGTGACAGAGGGGAGGTGACAGCGGTCGTTGACAAAGCGAGCGAGACTAATTAGTGATCTTCAGAGCAGCCTGGCAGCAGCAATTTCTTATGACGATGGATAGATTGGCGTACCCTCAAGACATTATATAACAAATAGACATCTCCCAGGTCTGTGGGTAGAGACTTAATCACGATGGATGGAGCGTCAACACCATTCCATTTCCAGACTTGAACCTGACCTTATATCTGGAAGCCTTGACTAGAAGAAAAGGCTTGCCTCCTGACGGAAGAATTCTGTGACATTTTTAGAGCTGTGCAGTATAGACCTTCTACAAACAATTTTTCAGATTTTTCCGAAAGTACAATAACTGCCCCTGGGCAGACTTTAATTCCTTAGGTTCTCAAATGTCACTGTGGTTCACTAGTTAAAGTAGAAGTTCATTTTTTTTTTTTGCTCCTTATAGTATCTTTAGGATGGAAGGATTCTGTTATGCCACATCAGCTGCTGCTTTGATCACTTTAGCTGATGATAAATAGGCAGGTTCAGGAGGACAGTATATTACCCTGGGCAAGTGCCTCATGCTTCATGCTTGCCATGTTTCTTTTCCTTAAGATTATCAGGGCCCCCGATTGTAACATGATTAATAAAAACCCAGAGACAGAAATTGGGGTTCAACCTGAAGGTCAGAGAAGCAAAGCAGTCAGCCATTTGCTGACAGAGTTTTCTGTCCCACCTGGTCCTGCAGCCATTCAGTTCCAAAGAAACACACAAAGGTCTACATTAATTATAAACTGGTTGGCCCATCAGCTCAGGTTTCTTATTAACTAATCTTTACATCTTACATTAACCCATAATTCTTGTCTGTGTTAGCCACGTGGCTTGGTACCTTTTATCAGCGAGACATTCTCATCTTGCTTCCTCTGTGTCTGGGTGATGACTGCAGACTGAGCCTTTCCTCTTCCCACAATTCTCCTGTTCTGGTTGTCCCTCCTATACTTCCTGCCTGGCTACTGGCCAATCAGCATTTTATTAAACCAGAAAAACTGACAAACCTTTACAGGGTACAAGACCATTGTACCACAGCAGCCACTGGCTCTTACCTCTTAGCAAAATGGTGATCTGCCTCCTCGGATCTCAGAATGAGACTGCGTGAGAGCTGTCTCCTCTGGTTTTATATTCCTCTCTAGTGCTGGGATTAAAGGTGTGTGGTCCCCACTGCCTGGTGTGTAAGGCTGATCAGAGCAGCTGTTTTACTCTCTGAGCTTCAGATAAGTTTTATTTATCAAAATATAAATGAAACATCGCTGCACCCCATGGCAGAAGCAGCCTGAAGGCAGTACAGGCTGCCATCATACCCAGCTTGTGATGGGCACACAATACAAACAGGAAACTGACCTTTGTTTTAGTAAGATTCTGGTATTTGGAGTCAGTTGATATATCACTGTATAACATGGATTGTTTTGGCAAATGGAGATATTAGATACCTCCAAAAGCCTACCATGGTGAGCTTAGTGGGTCTGCAGGTGCACTCTGTGATTATTTTAATAGACTCTGAATAAAACGTTGGAAGAAACATACTGCACAATTCCCAAATTATTCACTCTGACCTGTAGTTTATGCTTTATTGTGGTAGAAAAGGCAACTTTATGAGCTAGAAATAATACCAAACACCAAGGGAATAGCAGAGATTAATGCTGTAATTAAAGACTTGAAGGATACACAGCCAGAATTCCTATTTTTTAAGATTTATCGTGCCCTTTTGCTCTATGCAGGAGGCAGATGGAGTCTGGATGACATAGGTCATCTTAAACGTCACAAGATGGTGTCTCTAATTGAATCTGCTATCGTTATTGTTTTCTCCTAGCTGTATTCAATCATTCCAGCCAGTCACACCTGCCGTAAATCTAGAAAATGGATTTTAGCTTCCAAACTGAAAGCTGGAATTCAACAAAAACAGTTTTCTCTTTCTTGGGAGGGTCTTCAGTGTTTCTCAGTGTCCTGATTGCTGAATGGACCCACCTGATGGTACTTTTGCTACCAGTACTTCTAAGGTTGGTTCTTAAGGAAGATTGGCCCTACCTCAAACTTGTGAGGCTTTCCTTGGCTATTATTATTATTATTATTAATTTAGAGGGTTATAGGGAATGGGATATAAGAAACAAAGGATATTGACAAACATATAAAAGGAGAAGAGGGGGTAAGAGGTGATAGAGAAACGGGAAGAAAGAGGGGAGAAGGAAAAGGAGGATGAAATTGAGATGATCGCCTGTAGGTAGAGACCACAGGTAAAATGGTGATAGAGAAGAGGCTATTATTGGCACAGTGAAAATGTAATCCCAACCTTTCCTGAATGTTTTCTATGAGCAAGCACTGTTTTGAAGCTATAATGTGGATCCCAGGTATTTACTTGGATTGCATTTTTAGACATTTATTTTATCTTAGTGGGATCTAATGGAGACATTGCAGACATGTGCTGGTCCCCTCTTGAGCCAGTTTTGAGCTCAGTGCATTAAAAACATTGATTTAGCTCAGTGACAGAGTGCAAGGCTTTGAGTTTGGCCCTTGACTTCCAAACAAAACAAAACATCAGGAAAACCCTGAAAATCTCTCCTCTGGCTTGAGGCACGTTCCTCTTTGTTGTTATATTAACTTGCTCATCCCAACTTCAGTGTCTCATTCTTTGTGAAGGAAACTCTGGAAACAGAAGTGGAGCATCTGTTTCTGTCGCCTGCAGAGATGACGCTTGTACCATGAACAGTGGATCCACAGCTCGGCAGTGATCAAGGGAGCATATAAACATCACTTAGTTTTGCATTGTTTGTCCTCAGAATTGTGGAGTAACTTTGGAACGTTTTAGATTTTCTACCATAATTCTTCAGAATTAAGAAAAAATGTTCACCATTTCCATTCTCTCAAGCTTTTACTTATAGGTGTTGATTCTTGGTTTTGTGAGCCTTCCTCCCTCCCTCCCTGCCACCGTCCCTCTCTCCCTCCCACCCTCCCTTCCTCCCTCCCTCCCTCCTCTGTTCTTCACTGCATTTTTTAAATCTAAGGTAATATAGGGCTTTTATGAAATATCATCAGTTTCTTCAAATGCTTCTCTACTTATCACCCACAAAGAACAGAAAACCTAGAATTTCATATTTTTAAAACCTATGTTCAGCGCCAATTTTTCTTCTGAGTATCTGGCCATATTTATCTTTTTAAAATAATTAAGCTTACACTGTATTCCAAGACATTGCAGCTTTCTTTCTTCTGCTATAGACTCCAAGTGACACAGTCACTTCCTGTAACGTCCAATTGCCAACCACAGTCTTCTTATTTTTCAGAATCAGGTCCAGGACTTCCATCCCCTGTGGTTTCCTGTGCCTCTGAAAGATGAAGTCACCAGCAGGAAGGGGAAGAACGGCCAGGCATGTACTCTTTAGCAGAAGGAAGTGTGCAATGGTTGCTGATGGTATTGGAATGATGGAACTCTACCAGGTCTTTTTAGTGACCACCAGGAAGACAGTGACTGTCACCCAGCTATGTGCTCTCTCTCTCTCTCTCTCTCTCTCTCTCTCTCTCTCTCTCTCTCTC